TTTTTTTTTTTTTTTTTTTTTTTTTACTCTTAATGAGCAGGTAGTTTATAGGGTCCTGGGAAAACGGCTCAGTAAAAGGAAATGTATAATTGTGTAAAGATTTTGGTGCCTAATTGAGATAGTTACGTGCATGGTGGGGAAAATGTGGGTATTTACTGGAGAGGGGATGGTGACCTGGGGAGCCATCCATTTAGGTGTATGAATGGAACTAGTGGGGAAGGTGGAGTAATGAGGTTTGTGTGGGGAAGGAGCTGAGAGATCTGCTCAGTAAAGACCAGGGCAGCTAGAGCCCGTGTTAGAAAGCGGGCTAGAGGCGACCGGACGGGGTTTAGCACGGCGGAGCACGGGACTGCGGTGAGAGGTGGTGGTGAGAGGTGGTGGCACAGAAGTAGTGAGAAGGAGTCGCAGGGAGGAGAACGGAGGTGAAGCCGATGTGCGGGGAGCGCAGTATGGTGGTGTGACAGTAAAGCCGCAGCTGTGGCAATGACTTTCTGTTGATGAGCTAAGCACAGTGGTGCCTCCTGCCCCGGCTCAGGCAATGCGGAGTGTGCTGAGGACTGCAAGGGAGAACTCGGTGCCTAATCCGAAAACAAAGCCCAGTGCTTTCACAGCTAATGGAGAAAGGCAGATACGATCCCACTGGTGTAACCTCGGTGCTGAAGTGTTTGGAGATAATATGCCAATACTGTGAGCTACAAAGCTGTAAACAGTGGAATGTCTCTAAATTTCAGTTTCCTTAGGGCAAGCTTTCTTGATCACCTGCACACCAGACCATTAACAAGCGGAGAGGAGGCATTGTCCCTCAGTAATCCTCTGCTTGCCAGGAGCATCCCAGGGGTTCATTTCACAGTGCAGAGGAGTCAGCTGCAAAACAAACCTCCCTTTCCAGCAGCCTGGCAATGTTTTGAAGAGCACCAAAAATCTGGGGTGTGCACAAAAGGGACACAACCTTTTCTTTACCTCTTCATCATGGTAGTAGATGCCAAAAATGTAGCAAAAAATCTGAAGCTCCCAGATACTTGAACACCTTGCTGTCTTTTGGGAGGGAGCTGGGTCTTTGTCACAGAATTCTGTCTGTTGCTATAGCTGAAGTTTGTTTTAAAGGTCTGTGACAAAAAAGGGCTCATCTGTGGCTTGTCAGGCAATCCTGTGCCGAGTAATTCCTCTAACCATTTCCTTCAAGCAACAATGTCCTCTTTGTTGGACAAATACTTATTCAGTTGTTGTGTGTAGTTAAATGTAAATCTATTTTATTTACTTCCTTTCTTCTGCATCAGAAGGAAGGATCTGGCTAATTTTCCCAACTTGCCTGTCTTTATTTGCCTGTTCAAAGTCCATCAGAGGAGACAATGGGAATCCAATATTTGCATCAGGGTCAATAACAAAAATTGGACAAAGCTTCCCTCTGAAGCCCACCCCTTGACAAATACAAAATGAGCGTGCGAAAAGGAAACTTTAGTTGGTTTCTTTTCTTGAACTTCAGAGGGAAACAGGTACAATGCTGATATCACAGGAAGAAAGTAGATTTTTGTATATATCTGCTGGGGCTGGATAGTATTGAGTGAAAAGGCCGCACAGTTTCTGTTACTGAACTTGCAACTTACAGTCTTTTTTGATGCCTGAAATCAAAGGCATTACACCTCTGATGAAGTGTTCATATGAACTTTTATTTGAGTTATCTTTCTTGGGTAAATTTCATTTTATTTTAATGTTTTGCACTGTAACCATATGTGGCACAATGAAGCTTGAATGGTTAATGTAGACTTGGATACAAAAATCATTGCTCAGTTTTATTATTTCCTTCATCATAAGCTTGTTCTTTTTAGCCACTCTGTTTATTTCTTCCACTTTATTCCCCATGTATTTTATCCCTCCATTCCAGCTGTTTGTTCTTAGTCTTTGTATAGCTTGCCTATTATATTTAAGGTATGATTCAATCTTTCTTTTTTTTTTTTTTTACAGGCTATGTACTCAACCAACCGAGGGACAGTAGGTGGATTCTTCCTCGCTGGACGAAGCATGGTTTGGTGGCCGGTGAGTGCTATATATTGTGTGGTTTATATAAAATATATGTGTGTGTATGTGCATCCACTTCCATATGACTATGTCCAGTCCTTAAATACTAAGTATCTCTACAATACTGTTGAGACTGTGATGGCTATGTCATGTAGATGCACTTCAAACTTTTTCTCTAGCCATGGTGATACAGGGCAAACTGCACAACAAAAGCCGTCTGATAGGCAGGGAAAAGTTGGGGAAGTTGTCAGTGTTGAGCTCTGAGCTGTCTTGGTTATGTGACCAGCTTGTTTCAACCTACATACATTGGTAATGTCCGTGTAGAGAAATCCAATGCTTTGCCTTTCATCCCACTGTGATTTTTTTTAATATTTTGAGTTTATTACTTCCACTTTATTCAAAGAACCTGGCTCATTTTGAGGTTGTCACAGAGAAGAATTAATTTACTGAAACTTTTCCTTGTAATGCTCTATTGTTTCCACTTTTCGTAACAAGTTCTGGTCTGTAAAAGGAGAAAATCCTGGAAATATTACAATAAGTTATTGGTAAAATACAGTTTAAATTTATTTAAAGATCATCTGTGACTTCTGTGGATTTGTATTCTCTTTCAAGGTGGAGAAAAGGAGACACAGACACAAAATACGTTCATAGTAAGCAGAAATTATATTAGAAACAGTTATCTATTTCTTCTAGATTGTTTAGTGTGACTCCTTGGAAAAGCAGAAAACTTAGACAAACCTGCATTTTCTGAATTACTTGTGTTGTACATGCTTTCATGTGCTTGAATGGAAATCCTCAATACTCCTGATCTTGCATTCAGTCTCCAAAAATGTTTTTGCACTTCATTAAGACTTTTGATTCAAGATTTCACCTACATGAATTCAGTTACAGGATCAGGGAGAGCGAGTGTAAATATTTGTTGTCTAAAAATTTAGGAATTTTCTTGAAGTAGGCTGCAGAAATGCCTACACATCTTTCAGTCTTCCTGTGCTTCAGGGAGCTGCTGTCTGCTTTTAGAAGGGATTGGGACTGACTTTTTAATGACATAAAAAGATTAAAGGCTAATGACAGTAAAAGGTTTCTTAATTTGTTATAGTAGATCTAAGAAAATTCAGGTTCCACTGGAAGATTGAGGAAAGAGAAAGTTTCCAAGTTATTTTCAGATAAATCCCATAATTCTAGGCAGAAAGAAAAAATGCAAACAGATTATTCTGCTTAACTGTCACGTTGGTCAGTGGGCTGGTTTTAACCTTGTGCAATTCTGTATGCCTGTCAAGGGTGAATATGCCCTTGTGTGCAGATGTCAATGAAGGTGGAAGAAGCAAGGCAGGAAAGACCATAAAAAACTTCTGTCTTGCTGCAGTGGCACTGAGAACTCCTAATGAGGAGGGAAGATTATCTAACACTGAGTTGTCTGCCAACACAAAACCAACAGATCGGCAAGTGGGAAGACAAAAGGGGTGACCCCACAGTGCAGTGGTTGCTGCTAGGATCATCTCTCCTTCCCAAACTCTGCAAGCTGAGAATGGATGAAGTTCTAGTCATGAGTGGAGTCCTAGACCACCCCTTCAGTCCTTCCCTTTGGAATGCCAGAAGTGTCTTTTTGCACCATAAAAATAAACCCTTCTTGCTATTCTTGCTGGTATCACTCAAAATAAACAAATGTCAAGAACTCAAACCACAAGCTAAATACCATGTCAGCAGCACCACCTTGGAAAGTTTGCCTTGGATAAAAAGAGATTCCAAAACACTTATTCCTGCAGTTTAGCAAGTAGATAGGATGTCCATCACCCAGAGCAAACTGGGCTGCCATGACTAGGAAACCAAGGAAAGTATAGAAAGTACAGTCAAGTATGTGACCTCAGTTTTGCAACAGCTACTTCTTCTGTGCTTTGACTTTTCTTTTGTGCCATATCAGGACCATGTCACATTTCTGGAAAGCCCAGCTGCATTTCCAAAGACTGTAGATGAGAGGCAGGGTGGGGGAAGTTGTTTCGTAAGTGGACTCTTATTTATCACATTTCTTCCCTGCAATTTCAGTATAATGACCCTTGCCATGTAATTGCTTTCTGGAACAGAGAAAAATGAAACAAAAAAAATCCTGCCACAAATTTGTTTATAAACTTAATTTCCTTAATCTAATTGCATTTTTCAGAGGTTATGCTATGTTCTATGCTCTACAGGGCAGCCATAAGTGGGTTTTTTGGGAAAGAGGCTCATTAGCAGTGTATTAGGATCTCTTACTGACAAGCCTGGGAAAGGGATTCTATTCATTTAAATGATATAATAGCTGTGGTTTAGTAGACTAGAAGAGACTCTGGCAATCAAGAGCTGGAGGTTAGTCCCGCTTTTGATAGGGATTTTGCATGTTTGTCAGTCACTTTGCCTGATTGTGATTCCATTTCTCAGTGTGTAAAGTAGGAGCAAGACAGTTATCCTGGGCCAAAAGCGTCCAGCTTCAGCTCTGATTGTTGACTCCAGCAGAATCATGAAGGTTGCTTAGTATTTTACAGAACCAAGCCCACAGTTAGTCTTTTCTGGCTGTTCTGTGGAGGTAATAGGTCACTTCCATGTTACTTCACTGAAATCACTGCCCTTGTGCAGTGGATGAGCTCACTCAGTAGTCCCAGTAGTTAATTAGGGATCAAGATATATAATGACGTTCTCACTGGTTGCCATAAATTGAAATCCATTGTGGGTTAATCATAATGGTATGAAATGCTGTGCCCTTTCCACAGACTTTTTACAGAAACTGAGAAGAATCTTCAAGAAACTGGTTTTGGTCTCTTGGGCTTTGAGGGAATTGTCTTCAGGAAAGACACATATGGCTCTTTAGCTCTGCTTTTTCCACAAAGACACAGAGAAGCTTGAGGAAAGTGACAGCTTTGTAACAGTGGGCCTTGCAGACCAAACTTTAGCTTCTTTTATTAGGTGAAGGGGTTAGAAAATATTTGGCTGAACCTAACTACCATTGTAAGAAATTAAGTATCTGTTCCTGGAGAACAGTCAGCTTTGGTTACAGCCACTCTCACAGGTTTAACTGTGTTTCATGCACAATTAAAAAAAAAAAACAAACAAAAAACCCAACCTACTTCAATTTTGAAGCTTTCCTGCTTTTTTGAATTTTGTTCTTCAGTTTCTGTAGTTTTGCAGACAGAGCTATTTGTGCAAAATTACAGATTACCTTACACACCTCAGTTCCTGAGGCATAAATGCTAACAGGACAAAGAGTATCTGCTGGGCATCTGAAGTCCAGCTATGGTTAGAAAGATTTACTGAAGAGTTACTTTAGGAAGCATGCAGAGTCAAGGACATACTACACTTTAAACAGAAATGTAACTCAGCTTGTTTGTTGCTACTTACGTGTTGATCTTTGTGACACAGGTAAGAATTAAGGAAAAAACTCAAACAGATTGTTGCTTCAGTTCTGCCTGGCTTTTTTTTCATGGCCATCAGAACTCACCACTGGCACAATTTCTCTGATCTATGCATCCAGTTAAGTTTTACATATTCTTAGAATTCTCCCCACTTGCTGAATCTGACACTGCGGTGAGGAGCCAGGGAAGTCAACTCTGGTATGAATATGATTTGTATTTCCTTTTCTTAAGTTAAGTGGAATAAGAAATTATTTTGTCAAGTTCCATGCAAAAAATAGTGTGAAATCAATAGTTTTCAGATTAAAAAGAATAAAGTAATCAAAGCAAAGTTCTGGTAGAAAAGGAAAAGATCAGTGAAACAGATTTCTACAGAATCCATCAGAATTTTCCAGCTGGCTAGGAGGTGTTGTTTGTCTCAGAGGACAAAGGTGGAAAGGTATCAGATCAGCCTGCTTGTGAATGTGCTGTTCCAACAGCATCAGGCTTCTCAGAAGACAGAAACACGTTTGATGTGTATTGTACATCCATTTTTCTTGCTTAGTGAACTGGGAAGTGTATAAATGCGGTTTAATTTGGCAATAAAGCCGTACGTAGCATTTGTAGAGTAATTGGGAAAGCAGAATAAAAACCTACACTTCTTTCTTTGGCTCTCAGAGCCTTGAAAAGCGTGGCAGTAATATTTCATTGTAAGCAGTGTACTGATTTTTCCAAAGAGACTAAGCATGATCCCAAAAAACTCAGGTAGGAAAAATTGTATCCTTCCATCAGGGTAAAGTCATACGTTGCAGGGAAGAGTCATGAGTTAAAGAAAAGCACAGACAGCGTCAAGGAGCAGTTCTCAAACAAGGGAATCAGAAATTTGTCCAGGAAAGAGGGGTTTGAGAAGCAGCTTCTGCAGGTCACCCATGGGAGAAGCGATACCTCAGGGCAAGGCTCATGACCTCATGCTGATGTGAGGGAGCCTCTGCTGTTCTCTGTAAAGGGTCTGAAGGCCACAGGCAAGGTGTGCTTGGGACTGGGGAAAAGGGTTTGGTACCGAGCTAACGCTTTCAAACACGAAAGCGGACAGTAGGGCAATGGGGTATGTACAAGCAGGTACTGGAAGGGAGAAAAAGCTGTAAGCTGTACAGTCTGCACGCTGTCGCTGCAGTGGTCACTGATTTGCAAAGTACATCGTATATGATTTGGAACAGCAAGTGCCAGGATGTCAGTGCATCCTCAAGTTAATGAAAAGAGCAAGGTGAAATGGTTAATGAGTAACATGGAAAAAACAGAGTGATCATCATCTGTCTGTGGTGTGGTGGTACTTTTCCTGAACAGAGTACTCTTGTTAAAACCTGACCTCTTAAAAGATTTTAAAAGAGTTAATGTTCCACGTTGGCCTCAGGTTAGTTCAGTTTTTTGTCCTCTCTTTCCCTCTTAGCAGCTTTTGTTCCTTTCAATCAACTTTCTTCTTTACTTTTCCTCCTAGATCTGTTTTTAAAATCAATTCACTAACACATTCACTGAGAACAGTTAACACTTCTAGAAAATTGTTCCTCCATGTCATCCCCCAGTTACAGCCCAGTGTTTATTAGGTCATGCATAGGTATGCTGCAGCGTGTACCGATGGCAAATCAGGCAATTCCAGTAATGAGCCTTTTCAGTACAAAAATACCGCAGCAGTAAGTTCTTCAGCAAGACAGCTTGGGCTCAGAGCCCATCTGCCTTCTTCCCTCATCCTTAAAGTACTGCCGTGGCAGACTGGAGATTTCTTTCCCCTCTGGCATCAGCAGCTAACAGGGTGCACGCATAGTTGGTAAGTGCTCCTCTTGCTTGAACCATGCTGCAGTTTTAAGAGTCATATGCATTTTCCCAGCTGTGAAGTCACGTTCTACCTTTCCATGTATACATAACAATAGAAAACAGTTTTTAAATTGCATCCATTATTAATATGTGTCGATCTTACTGTTCTGCTGCACCGGATGTTCCCTAATTCAGAGAAGAAAATTTAGAAAGTGAAGGTGGTATCTGCATTCACATTGTTTTGTTTTTGTGCTGGCCCTAAATGTGTCGGTAATTTTGCATTGGTTTGGTTTGGTATTTTTCTTACAGTACGGTTGTACTCTGGGTAAAGTTGGGAACACGGCGTTGTCAATGAATGCTACAGTATGTCCTGGGGTTTCGGGCACTGAGCCAAAGCTTACTACTGCTGTCAGTTCTTAACGTTCTTCACTAGCCGCTTTTGTTACTTGGATCGGCTTGCAGTACATTTTAAGCTTTTGAAATGGGAGAGGGAACACATTAAATAAAATCAGAGATTAATATGGTTAATCTTTTCTGGTGATTGCAATTCTAGTAAGCTAGATTTAAGTTTAATTATTCATCTCCAAGGAAAGCACTGGACAACAATGCTCATGCCTGGTATAAATGGTATTTGTTTCTTCATGGTCATTGCTGGGAAAACACTGTTGCTGTCACAAAGAGGTTAGAAGAAGAAGTTTTCTTTATTACCAGTGATCTCTCTGGCTTATTTGCTAATACTTGTTGCAACATTTATCATTCCTGTAGAAATGTCTGCCATATGACAAACTGGTTACATTTCTGTAGGGCACAACTGGCTTCCAGAAGTGTGTTAAAAAAAACAGCAACACCTCCCCCCCCCCCCCAAAAATCCAGAACTGAGTGAACTTAGAGACATAAGTTTCCTGCCACAGCAAAAGAACAGTTTGCAAGAAGAATAGAAGAAAGCAGGATATCAAACTGAGGAAAGGAGGAAAAAGTAAGCTTGGAAAAGGAGGAGTGGAATCCTCTGATGAATTTCATTTGTACACTGCACATAAAAAATGGGGGAGGAAAATCTATTTTGGATTAGAGATCAATATTGTGAGATGAAGAGCATGGCTGCTATTCCTGGCTTTGACATAGCTCTATAGAATAAATCTGATCTTCACAGGTGGATTTCCATGGTGAAATCCTCTTATCCTCCTGAATCTCAGGCAATTGTCCCTATGCTCTCAAAAAGGCTGACTAAATTTTTACTGCTACTCAGAGAACTCACTGCAGTGACTGCAGACCTGGAAATTTGTAACTATTCCTTTTACATACATTTTAGGACCCTAAACATCTCCCATTGAGTTACAGGCAAGGAATATATTTCCCTTTTGTAAGGTGACTCCCAACGTATTCCAACCACCTGTATTTGGGAAATACATAAGGGGAATGTGCCGGATGTAGGTCCTGCATATGTCTAAAAAACCCTTTTTAAGCACCTTGGGATCTTTCAACATGAGAGGTCTACCTCAAGTGAGAGCAATGGAAGCTGATCAGCAGGGGGTTTTTTGCCTACTTTCTATATGTTTTTCTTTTTTTTTTAACCTTGATTCTTTTTTTTCTTTGTAGCTTTCAGAGAACATAAAAGAAAAAATGGAAGTGAATAAAAAATGTTCACTCGCCTCTTTTCATCTTGGAACTACTCCAGCTCACTTGTCTTCTGCCTACAATACCCAACCCAACCTCTTTTTCATGCTCGAGTTCTCACCCTGTATCCTTCAATGTATGACCTTGTAAATTATTGTTAGGCATTTCTGCTGCCTTTTAATGGTTTCATTTTGAGGAAATGAAGCTCATACCTTTTCTCTTCATCTTTTCTATTGTCTGAGCTATTTGATGAAGATTTAGATCTTTTGGCACAATCTCTCTTTTGTGAACGGCTCCTGCCTGTCTGTAATCCAACATAAACCTTTCTTTTTTTTTTTTTTTTTAATGTTTCCCCTGTTCATCAATTCTTATGTTCTCCTCACCGTTCTGTTTGTATGATCAGTGCAATATTTGGAGGTCTTAGAGATCCAGCACTTCTTAAATATAACTCCTTGATTTGCTATTGTTTCTACCTTCCAGAAGCACTTTCTCAGCAGATATTTCTGCCATTCAGATTTCAGAATTTAATTCAGTAATCGAATATCTTTTGACTAAAAGTGAACCAAGTACAAAGTCTGTCCAACTCTCACTGGTGATACATTTAGTTCCACAGACTGTGGAATATGAAAAAGGGAGCGCCAGTTTGGCAAGGGAGTATGCACTTATCATTTCCTCCTTGAGCAAGACAGATCGCAGTCTTCTTCCCTAATTGTTTCCATATCACCCACATGTAAGTTAGTCAAGCTTTGCAAATATTTTAAAATCTCTATTGGTGTCATAAACTCTTTGCCTTAACTGGAAGAAGGACTTCTGTGTAACATCCTATTCATTGTCATTGTTGTAGATATGATGGCAGGAGTCTCAGATTTGAGCAGGAACAATAAGAGGGAGTCTTGAAAGTTGTCAAGGAAGTTAGTTGTCAATAATTCTCATCATCACCATCTGATAATAAGCATGAGTTGAAAATGCCAAACGAACATGATTTTTTCAAGTTACCATAAAGAGGACCCAAGAGCCAAATATTGTTCTTTCTGTTTCCAGATTGGTGCTTCTCTGTTTGCCAGTAACATTGGCAGTGGACATTTTGTGGGAATCGCAGGAACAGCAGCAGCTGGAGGAATTGCCATCGGAGGATATGAATGGAATGTAAGTGGCATGCATTTAGGTGAACGTATTTGTGACATCAGGATTATCTGCAGAGTTTAATCAAAATAACATTGCATAATAATTTAGGACTGTAAAAGTTTGTGCTTGGCAACACTTGTTTTCTGTACAGACCAGTAAATGCCAATGTAATCTACTATTTAGCCCATCCTCCTTGGTTCTTGTCCAAGCCACTGGGGGATGACGACCCTTTTCTGTTGAATGAGGCTTTTTAGAGAGCATTTGAGCCAAATAAATTGATGGATTCTCTTCCCTATACATATCTTTTGATTACTTTTAAAGTATTTATAAAGAGCTCTTTCAGACTGCAGGATGTTTGGAAGAATTTATCAGTTCTGTAATCTGTAGTATTTTTTACAGCATTTTGCTATGTAGGAATTGTTGAAGGAGCTTTGATTTCTTCACAGGCTATAAGAAATTTTGGACATCCTTCACAACAACCTGCATTCCAAAAATCTTTTCCTTTCTTCTTCCTCTAATTACGTGTGTGTTTTGCTTATGGTTGCAGTATAGGGTAGATATATGCAAGCTGACCTGAAATGAACTACTTGGGATACCAGGAGTAGTGTTAACTGCAACAGCACAGGAATTCACAGGATCTAAGTCGGTCCATTTCCTTGTATTGTCAGGCTCTGTGGGTGTGGATAGTAATGCCTTTGTTCTGTTTAATTCACCTTCATGGAAGGGATTATACCATGACACAAAGGGCTTAATGAGTGTACATAAGTCGATACTTTCCTTGCATATAGTTCTGCACAGTGAAGGAAGCATACCAGCCTGAGGGATTTGGCTTTTTTCCTTAGCAAGTCGATGGTTGCTGCAAATAGTCAAGTACTCATATGATACAAACATTTAAGAAGAAGGATAAAGGCTAAAATGAACTCTGTGAGATGTGCACAGTTAATCTGTTACCTTTCTCTATTTTCTCTTTCTAGTCCTGTAACAAACCCGATTTCCCTTCTCTTTGTACCAAAACTAAGCAAAACAAAACAGAACAAACATTGCTTGAGATTTCATGATATTCAAGTCTCTAGGACCCATATTCTTCTTCAAACTTATCCACCTCTAACGCTTCATCTCCTGGGAGATTCTCTGTGGAGTAATATTAATACACAGTGTACAACAATTGGTTTTTAGAAAGAAGCAATGATGCTTGTGTGTATTTGAGTAGATACATTACATAGCTCATTACTTATGACATATTGGGACTGGTGTACAGGTTAATAGTCATGGTGGGAATATTGCTCTTGACTGTATAATCTGATTCTCCTCTTGAAAGAAATACTAAATTTGACTGTTATCATGCTTGTGTAACTCTATTATTCCACTGAAATTATTTCTAATTTGTATTAGTATGACAGCAGAAGCTGACCCAGTATTTCTTGTCCATCTTATGGTTTTGATATAAGGACAGGACTTAAAGGATACAGTTAAAAAAGCTCTCTAAGCCCTGTGAACAGAATAAATGCAGAGTGCAGGTCTGAGAGCAGGATTTTGTTCTATATATATCAATTTAAATATGTACAGCTCTGTATCATTTGCTAGCCATTTAAGTCAGAAAACTGACACTGCAATACAGTAAGATCTATAGTTCACAAAATACCTGTGGTAACACAAAAAATATTATGGAATGGTATTGTGGAAATACACAATATTTTACAAAACGTGTTTCAACCTGTACAGTACCTGAGATGATTGTTGTAAAACATACAGCCATCTCACAGAGACCCAATGCAGAAAGCAGTTAATGATCAAAATAATAATCAAAAGAAGTTCTACTCTCCCCAGTACCTAGATTTGCAGATGTCACAACATACCATTGCAGCATACCTGGTTCTGAGTGAGAAAGTATCCTGCATCAGTGGCTCTGGGATCAAGATGCTAGCAAATAGGTCTCAGGTAGCAGAATTCACCTTCCTTGATACTTCCCAGGAATGGTAGTCTTTTGGGCTGGTTTCATTTTAACCATCACTAAACCAGTCTCTCTGGGCCTGCTCTGAAGAAGGCTAGGATAGTCTGGTGCTTTGATACTAGAGGGCAATCCTGTGAGAATAAATCAGCTGTTTTTCCAGAAAGTGTGTTATTATCATGTGTGCTTCTCTGGGACATCTAGCATGCAATCTAGTCTGCATAATACCTGACAAATTTTTTGGCCAAGATTTCATTCCCAAATTTTCAACTGTAACTCAAAGGACAGAGCAGTTCCTCCTCCCCCCAGTGCCCACAATACCCAGGTTTATGTGGTTTCAGTGGTCTCTAGCTGCTATTGGGTCTGACAAACGGTCTTCGGGAGTGCTATCCAGAGAAAGAAGGCTAATTCAGCTGATCTTGTCTTGGCTACAGGCTCTGATATTTGTGGTTGTTCTAGGATGGCTGTTTGTACCCATCTACGTCAAAGCTGGGGTAAGTCAAAACAGTATGTTATGCTTTTCTTTGCTGCTCGTGTTTGTGGATCAGGTCTTGAATATTGCAAAGCTGTTATGAATGGCACAAGATCTGAACGTGCTAGAACTGTACTATATTACGTCTGCATATATTTGAAAAGTGAAGATTCTCTGCTCTGAGACCTGAGTTGAGAAGTACTTGGTACTTTCTCCTTGTTCTCCTTTGATTCCTGGAGCTGCTCTTCCTTTGCAACTACATTTGCAGCTCCCCTCCCTTTGCCCTCCACTCTTACAGTATCTGAGTAGCAAAAAACTTCTAATTTGCTTTATATCTGTTCCCCATTATCTGAAACCTTATCTATCCTCCCTGCAGGTGGTGACAATGCCAGAGTATCTGAAGAAGCGTTTTGGTGGGAAACGGATTCAGGTCTACCTGTCAGTTCTTTCTCTGATCCTGTATATTTTCACGAAGATCTCAGTAAGTAAAACTTCTACAGCATTTCTTCCATCCTACATTGATCTAAAGAAAAGAAACTCCCGTTTACAATATTGCTCACACAGCTGGTCAACTGTTTCTGATTTGGAGCCCTTCGTTGAATTAAGGACTGTAAAAATATGATTTTGTGTTTTCTTTATCCTGTCTAGTAAGATTGTGTATCCGGATCTCTTCTGCAATCCAAGTGTTTTCCTTCCTGGCAACGTCTCTTGACTCTTGTGCTTTCTCTTTCTTTTTTAGGTTTTAAGGTTTACTTCTACTTATGCTGTCCTCTAGAACATGTTAGGGTGGAGGGAAACTTGTATTGTATTACAGTCTATTATCCTACAGATCCGGGAAACATGTAGTGGGATGTTCTGTCCCCAAACTTCATATTTATCTGTCTTAGCATCCTCTGGTGAACATGTCATCAGTAATATAGATGAGGGAAAAGAACAAGAGGGCTATGGAGAAAAAATTATTAATAAGAATTAGAAAATAAAGGAGTGGGGAAATGTAAAGGAGGGAAATTATAACAGCTGAGGTGAAAGGAGGGAAGAGGAGAGATTCTGCTAATGGGCAAGTGGTTGGTATAAAGTTTAAGGTGCTATGAAGTTAATGTTTATTAAGTAAGTGGTTGTGTTGCCGTGAAGTATTGAAGGGAGACGGTATTTTCCATATATCTTGAAACTACCAAGCCTCTAAAGAAGTCCACAGTTCAGGCATACCTCAATCTGTTGTTTTGCAGAAGTTGCCATGGCAGATTACTCTTTGCCCTCTGAATGGGAGCTGAGTGATAATAGTGCAATTTAAGCTAAAAGATTGGCCTTTTGCTCTCATTCTCACATCTTCACGATAACTGATCCTTAGAAAGGTTATAAATTAAACAGATTGGTACTATGGAGCTGGCCTCAAAGTTGGATTTCCGTATATTTCAAAAGGATTAGTTAATTTGCTGTTGTTGTTCTTAACTACCATAATCAGAAATCCCAGGTATGACACAGAGTTCTGGCAGCTCTAGCAGCTGAGAAACTCTTCCAGTCAGATGACTCAGTCCTATTCTGCAACTCATGTTTGTAATGGGCCCATCAAGGTGTTACGTAGGTTCTGAATTTACTATCTATCTTTTATTTCCAGCCTCTACCATGCCTAAGGATCTGGTTGTGGGATTTCACCCCATTTCAGTTGGAGGGTTTTGCTTCCAGGCAAGACAGGTTCTCCATTTAAGCTTCCAGTGTGGTCATGAGGCTGAAGCACCCTCTCCTGCTCTTGTGGTCCTGTCTTGTTAGGGAGCAAAGCAATAGTCAGGAGACCCATACAGCAGCAGATTAACTGGGCCCCACTCTACCAGTGGCCTATGCCAACTTCCCATCAACCCAGTTATTCCAGAAGTGTGTGGGGAATTGCCATGGGGCTGGGTCCCTGTGCCATGCAGGGGAAAAATCTGGTGCACAATTTTCTCTAACCATTTCTCTTGTTTCCCCCATCTGCCCAGAACAACTCTGACAGTGTCTGTCCCACGTACAAATGTAGCTCAGATTTCTGTAGTATATAATCATGTCTTCTGCATTGTTGTCTTATGTCACTGTATTCAGTAGATTGAATTTGGATTTGCCCAGGTCTGATTTACTTGCCTTATCTTATTCAGACAGTCAAAGTCCTTGGAGGTTTCAGGTACTGCCAGAGGTTGTCAGAGTAGGTTTTTCTATACCATGCTATGCCAGACCATGCCCAAATTGTCTGCAGATGAACCAGCTTCAGAAACAGAAAGGGAAGGGCCGATCCATCCTGGACCATAGCTAACTACTTTGTGCTGTGTAGATGTACGCATGCTGTGTGAAGCTAGCACAGGTCTCTCTTGCCAGAGGCACGTTGTATATCAAACATACCCATGTGTTGACAATCCATGCCATAGCCGACTTGGAGATTTGCATTTTACTTCCTTGACTGATGCCTTTGCAAACACTCTCTTGTGATCTTTGGGGCTTACTGAGATTTGATAAAGAAGGATGGGTTTCTGCCCTGCCCTTAACAGGCAGTTACACCTATCAGTTTGACTGGCCGTGACACTTACTGCCACTTACCCTTGTACAAGAGTGGCATCTTGTTTCTGGCATAGTTATTTCATATGCTGCTTCCTTGATGTGTTAACATGTTATCTAATGTTCTTAATAATATAATAATTACGATGCTTTTCAATGAACAATGTAATATGTCAGGTCATGTAACTCCTGGCATGCTCTTTCCGGCACAGTGCCCACCACCATGTAATGATCAGATTCCCTTTGCACACCTCTGTACAAGGTCATTACCATTTCCCTTTTCCTGCACATTTTCTGTGTATTTTTTGTTGATTTCTTACCTTGGTTTGTGGCTAATCAACCACTTGCCAGACAAGGCCGTGCTGCAAGGTGTTGATCTTTGGGATCAGGACACATGTGATCTTTGAGCCCAAAGGATTTCTGTTGCACAGGTGCCTCACATGTACATGCTTCCTAAGCATGCAGTGCTTTGTGAGTAATGCCCATAGCAGCTTTCAGGGGCTTGCTAGCCACTCGTGTTGCTGATACTAGTCATTATGCCAAAGAAAATGGCCTAGTAAAAATAAAATCTTGATGGAGAGTAATTGACTAAATTATGACAAGACAAAAGGAAATTAAGACCTGAATGCTTTTGAAGAAATCAGAAATTGTAAACTGGAATTTCTAAATGTGTTACAGCATTTTCTTTACAATCATTGTGCATAATTTCAGTAGTAAGTGTATGGGCATAGACTTACCAGGGGGAAGAGGAGGGAGAAGGATAACCTCCTCTTAGGGCTGCACAGTGTAGGGAGCAAGGAATATGTGTCACTGCCCTGACTCCCATGATAACATTGCAGGTGGATTCACTCAGTTGGCATGTGTTCTGCCAGTTGTTCCTGCATAGTCTTTGGAGAGATAGCTTGTAATGTAAAGGAAAGATTTATTCTATTCGGAGATAAGATAAAGATTAAATTGTGTCCATAAAAGAGTATAAATGGAGAAACAAGGAAATATTGATAGGCAATAAGTGAAGTTGGAAGGTAACTCAGCAATTCAAAGAAGCTGATACATTGCTCAGGATGCTAAATAATTAACTATACATTTATTTCTGAGGAGTCATTTTAGGGCCATTAATATTTAATGATATGTAGACTAAACTGAAGCCAAGAACAATAAAAGAAAGATCTGGGACATAAGTGGTGTGAAAAGATAGGAAAAAAAAATTCCCATAGAGAGAAGGGACAAAGGATATGGTCTAAAAGCCACTGGGGATAAGAGCTAAAAGTCTTTGGTTCCCACTTCCAAACTAAAACCTATAAGAAATCATCTGAAGCTACTCCAGAGGGAGAGTTTTGGGAGTGGGACCTCTGTTGTGATTCATACTGCTTCACAGTTGTTTTCTGCATGTCAGGACAGTAGGGTTGGAGGACCTCTTGCTTCAGAGGTCGGTACCTCTTCCTCATTCTCCAGAGTGAATCAAGGGTGAGATCATACCCTGCAGTCTCGGTTTCAGCGTCTCTGGAATGAAGAGGGTTTCTTCAACCAGCATCTCCCAGCTAGCCAGGCTGTGTAACTGCTTATTAGTATATCTGCCCTGCTTTACCTCAGTCTAGCCGTGGACAAAAGCGGTGCAAGTGCCTGTTCTGTGGTCGCAGGCTCTGGCTGTCCTGCAGCCTGGCCTGTGGAACCTCCTGCTCCTCCAGTGAGCTGCCACCCAGCAGTAATTGTCTGTGCAGGCTTTACCCCAGGGCATGTGTAATATTGTTCATCTCTCTTTCTCAGACCCTGCATATAGGCAGTTCCTGCAGCATTTTGCAGCTCCTGAGCTTGGTGAACGCCACTAGGACTTGATAAGATTGCCTGTATAGAGCCCTTGTACAGGTGGTGTGGTACACAGAAAGGAGGCATGCAGGTGGGATTGGAGATGAGCCCATGAACTGGATGCTCAGGAGCAAGGATAGGTACAAATGCAAACCTCTAATGAAGGCATAATTTACAATAATGCATTACAAGTGCACTGGGGTACATTATTCTGATTGCGAACTTGGATAAATAACGTTGATGCAAATTATCTCTGAATCAGGAACTGATTTAACATGATTAAAATCCCAGAGTGTTACTCTGAAACCTGAACAATTCCTTTCTTACGCAAGACCTAAAGGTCTCTTCTGTTAGCCAACTGATGTCAATTATTCTGACAGGAACTTAAAAATAGAGATAATATAAGATGTTTGCCTTTAATCACCATTTGTCCTGAACCAGCAAGACTAGCTATACCACATGTATGCAAGCAGTAAAAAAAAAAAAAGTAAGAGACTTATAGAGTAGCATTAAATGAAGAGAACCATGATGTGTCTTGGAGGTTTCATAGAGTCCATCCCTGCACATAGCAGCAAGTGTAAACTGAGTTTTAAGTAATTTATTATTAAGCTGTCTCTCAGTATGTAAGCACAGAATAGTGAGGTGACTGTCTCTAGAAAAAATGATCGATTGAAAAAGACCTGGAAATTCTTTGAGAAGTGTTACAACTCTTGTACTGAAAGCACCACAGCACTGAGAGGAGACTGGCAGTTGTACTAAAATGACCTCTGTTTGCTTTTTGATTTTCTTTTTTTGGTGTGTGTGCAGTACTATAAGGGGTGGAGTTGTGTATTTCAGTACTCTTCATCATGAACGTGTAATATGCCATCATCATGTATTTGAACATTGCTTAATCTATCAATTTTTCTTTTATAGGCAGACATATTCTCTGGAGCTGTATTTATACAGCTGGCCATAGGGCTGAATCTTTATTTGGCCATAATTATCCTGCTTGCTATTACTGCTCTTTACACCATCACAGGTGAGTTTGCAGAGCAGTCTGATAAATCAAAGAAGTTAGGTAAGACAGAAAAAAAGAGAAGAGGGGAGGTGGGTAGGAGGGGAGAAATGAAAACCTGAAAGGGGAGTTATTTACAGCAGTGGTTGTTTGAAGAAGAGAGGTGGTGAGAAAAGGAAAAAAATAGGATTTCCACTGATGCATTTGCACAGGGGCTAACCTATTTGTCTTACCTTTTCTTTGCCATTAGGTGGCCTTGCAGCTGTGATTTACACAGACACCTTACAAACGTTTATCATGGTAGTGGGATCCTTTATTCTCATGGGATTTGGTAAGTAAATCAGGTGAATTAAACTGGAATGTTCAACCATAAATCCCACAGTGGCTATGGAAATGGATCCTGCAGAGTGGAACTCTGTTGTCTTAACCAGCAGACTTCATTTTACATACCTATTTATCAGGGAAGAACATAGGCATATTGCCAAGCCCTTTAATCACTGAGACCACTCCATGTCCAAAGCACAGGTGAATGTGTAAGGTAATATATAGCATCCCATGACAGAACAGGACTTGTGATGGCTCATGAGGTAAAAGCAGAGTTGTTTGCAGGTGATGATGATACTCTTGAGTAGTTCAGAGAACTATTTTTAAAGAAGATTATAATTTCATAGCTCTTCAGATGTTAATGCATGAAAATTTCTGATTCAAAGTGAAGAGCTGTTGGTCACATTGCATGTTTTTTCCTTGTTTCTAGCTGCTAGCTTGTGTTAAAACAACCCAAACGTATTAACATTTTAAGTAAGCCTCGTAGTTGATCTATGGATGTCATTATATTGCCAGCTGGACGAAAGATACGAACTGAACGTTTATGAATAGGACAATGTATGTGTCCAGAAGACCAGATACATTTTAAAACAGAAATCATACTGTTAAACAGAATCAATAGGAAGGGATCATAAGAAAGAAAGAAGCAGTGAAAAGATTCTGTGAATTGTAGTGTCCTTTGCTCATCCTTCTAGTTACTCAGCGCTTGGTTTTCCTTTAGCTAGGTCTTTCACTGAAATTAAATTATTCCACCATTGTTATGACAGAAATAACTTCAGACTGACCTAACCTGGTAAGACCCTGCCTTAGGTTCTCCCTCGGTTAACAGTGTGTGGAAATAATGTATCTTCATTTCACTTCTTGGCAAGGTAGTTGTAAGAGATGTTGAGACGGTGGAGCCTAAACCAATGTTTGCGAGCTATACAGAAACCTAGAAAGAAAGGTCACTTTGGTACTTAGATTGTGTGAATACTGGCAAAACACTGTATGCTGTTTTCCCAAAATGTTGATGTATACTGGCTAGGGTTTTTTTACATCCACATTAAGGAGGTTTTTCTCCTCACATTCTTTAGCTCTACTTGAGATTTCAGTATTGAATAATTTATCGTTACTTTTACTTTCTATTTTTCAGCATTTGCTGAAGTAGGAGGGTATGATGCTTTCATGCAGAAGTACATGGAAGCAATTCCATCCAATATCTCCTATGGGAATACTACAATTAATGCAGAATGTTACACTCCTCGGAAGGATTCCTTTCACATCTTCCGAGATGCCGTCACAGGAGATCTGCCGTGGCCAGGGCTCGTCTTTGGTTTGAGCATCCTTGCTTTGTGGTACTGGTGCACAGATCAGGTAATGTGGAAGCCATATGCCTTGGAAATGCAGCGCACAAAACTCCGTAGACTAGCATGACGTAGGGGTTCTCTTCCCCCACTGTAATCAAAGCTGATTCACAGAAATGGCAGTTATTTCAAGACTGGTCAGTGACTTTTCAGTTTCTGGTTTTGAAACCCCTCCCACAGGGAGAAAATGGAATGGGTGTTCTTTCAGTTCGTCTTATACACTGTGCCCAGCAGATACTGTGTGTAATTCCTTTCTCATCTTTTGTGTGTGACCATGTGTAAAAACACAGAGGTTGTAATGTGAACATTTACTTAGGAAACCATGCATCAAATGATCCCTGTGAGACTGGGTCTAGATATGATTCCCCACTCAGTAATACTAGTTCATTTCCTATTTGTGCAGCTTTCATGTCTGCATGCACAGTCTTGGAAGGATGTTCTTTATATGTCAGGTCTGGAGACTCTTCCCTAGTTCTCCTTCCTTTTCCCTAAAACCTACCATCCAGTTTCCCCAAGAGATCACACTGACATGAGTAGAGGAAAGTCTGCTCCTGCAACTGCGACATGTGAGTGTGTCCAATCTCTAGAAAGTGATCTATCTGCCTTCTGAATTGTGAGGAAGATAATCTTCACAATTTGTAAACAAATGAACAAAACCCTCAATGTAACTGTATCTGTTGCTCAAGTAAATATTTTATTCCTTTTTGGCTTTTTAGTCTATCTGCTTTAAGAACATCTTGTGAGAAAAGAGTTTTACCTCTTAAACACACACTGGATAAATGATATTTTCCTTTACTTATTTCAAACATATCCTTTGATTTTCATGTAGCTTTTATTTTTCTTAGAGACAGAAATAGTAAATAGGCTCTTTCACTATCACAGAGGTTAAGAAGCACTTTGTATCTGGAATTTGGCATGTGTGTTTGTGGAAATGCTATTCTTGGTTGAGTCACACATGCTTGCCGTGTCTCATTGACAGGTTATTGTCCAAAGATGTCTCTCTGGCAAGAACATGTCCCATGTGAAGGCTGGTTGTATCATGTGTGGATACCTGAAACTCTTGCCCATGTTTATTATAGTGATGCCTGGAATGATCAGCCGAATTTTATATACAGGTATGCATATGTGTACAGAAATGCAAATTTCTTCTTGCTGCCTATTTTTAATGCCAATCTCTCTCAATTTCCTATTCTCTGTCCCTTCCAAAATACCTGTTAGATTGTCATCTTGTCATCCAAATTGTCCAGGCACATGTGTGCACAAAAACTAATTACACTGTAAGAAGCCACAGGTCTCCCCCTTTTTCCCAGATTCCAGGTTTCTGCTAATGCTATTGCTGTCTGTTGTATGGGAGAGAAATTCCACAACATCTGTTTGTTACAGCCCCAGTCTGGCTGAACGATTGGAAAATGCTGTCCAGGACTGGTATCCTGCTGGCAATCAGGGGAAGGGGGTCATCAGTCACAGACAGATATTTTGGGCCATGGACAGTCCTGAGTGTAGTGTGGGGGAAATGCCAATGTCCCTTCTCTCTAACCGTCAGTGTGTTCAACAGCAGGCAGAAGAGAGATGCCCAGGTTGGAGGGCGGGGTCTTTGTGTTCCTCTGCTTGTTTTTCTACTTTCTTTCCTTGTGTTGTTCAGTCCTGGTCTGACAAATTAATGCTGATTTTTTTTTTTTTTTTGACCTGCAGCACTTTTCAGTATTCTTTTAGAGAGGAAAGGAAGGGTAGAAGCATAGAATTACCTTCCTCCCTGCCAGCAGACCAAGGATGATATCAAGCATGTCAATCCAGTGGTCCAACACAGAGATAAATTTTAGAAGCTCTACTAATTTGGGAGCATCTGTTGTTAGTATGACCTTGTCTAACCCTGTCTCATGATCCTCTCCTCAGATGTGGTGGCTTGTGTTGTGCCTGAAGTCTGCCAGCAGTACTGTGGCACCACAGTTGGCTGTACAAATATTGCTTATCCAAAAATGGTAGTGGAGCTTATGCCAAATGGTAAGACACTGTCCGTGTTTGTTTGTTTTAGGAAGGGTGAGGCTGCCAGACTGTAAAAACAGGTGACAGAGGGAGCCCAAGTCCCATATTTAGCTCCAAAATTCTTCTTAGAACTATGCACTATTAATCGAAGGGGTAGTCTGTGTTAGTTGTAGCTGCAGGTGCAGAATAGCTACACATTGACAATGTCAGCTCTCAGCTGGCAAATACTGGGTGATGAAATGCGAATTGAGCTTCCTTTCTGTGAAGGTAAAAAATAACCTACTTTGCCAATGATTTATAAAAGATTGTCTCTGCCAGGATTTCTGAGTTGGAGTCATACAGCTGCGGTCCTTCTGCTAAACCCACTGAGGTGGGAGGAGAAAATATTGTATGTACACATTGTCCCATAGGACACCTATTCAATGAGAGAACAAGGTACCACTCTGGAGAGGACTACGTATACAAAGAAGATAAATTTCTGCAGAAAACCACAGAGCTGGTTCATAAGGCTAGGAAGACAGATTATGATATTATACAGACCACGGTTCTTCCCTGATATCTTCAGTACTTCCCCATCATATTATAACTGTTGTACATAGTATTATTAAAATACTACAGTACTTCCCCATACTGTGTTACTAGATCAATACCATCTGGAAAAGTGGCTTACTCTGATTTTCAAACAGTAAAAGAAACTTTATTTTTGCCCAACAACTAGTTTACAAATATACCACAAGCAAGCGAGCACTCCCCTGCAAACGAAAGAAATTATTTTTATAACTGCTGGGGAAAGTCTGCTTAGTACTTTTTTCTTTTTATTTCAGCATTTAACCAGACAGCATTCACAAAAGAAGTACCTATGTTCTAAAAGCTCAAGAGTTGCCCTGTCACTGCTGTAAACAGCTTTTCCAAAGCTCAGCAGACATCACTCCGCGTGCATTGCAAGAGCACATCAGGCAGGCATCAGGACATAAATATGCCAGACAGACTCAGAGCTGGCTGATTTGCAAGGGTCAGACAAGCACTATGGATGGTGCCACGTACTGAGGCTCTTCATGGAATGCTCATCCCAGTTCACATAATCTTTGTATTTCAGGTCTGCGGGGTCTGATGTTGTCAGTCATGTTGGCCTCCCTTATGAGCTCCCTGACTTCCATTTTTAACAGTGCTAGTACTTTGTTCACTATGGACATTTACACCAAAATTCGATCACGGCCATCTGAGAAAGAGCTTATGTTAGCTGGAAGGTAAGTGCAGCCGAGTCTTCCCCAGCCACACAAACATAGTGAGCACCAGACCCATTACAGACCGCAGCCTCCAAAAAATGCCCTACGTCCCTGGGTGACAACCAGCTTTCGCAGTGCGTGGGCAGTGCAGCAGTGGCCTCCTGTGGCCAGACAGACTGTCCCACCGTACACATTCCTTTTGGGAAAAAAAACCCCCACTTTGTTTCCAATTTAATTGACAATGGTTCATGAAGTAGCTAAGCTAATTCTCAACACTTCCTACTGCTATTCAAAGGGAACTGTTTTAAAGTATCTTCACTGGCTTTGTGCTACACCATGCTACAGCCTCAATGAACTAGTTCTAGTTGATCTGCTATTGATTTGTCTCTAGACATAACAAACAAAGGGAAAAAGTTTTGATTGCATGTTTAGCTGTATGCTGACTGGTATTTGACAGACACAATATTCAACTTGGATTTCTTTTGTTCGTTCAATGGTAATTGGCCATTATACTTGATTTTGCTGGTTGAAATACAAACCAGACATTTAAATTATTGATTAGTTGCTGTTTTTTTCTTTTCTGATAGAGGCTTCTAAGCAGGTGGCTAATTGATTATCTGGCTGTGTTTACAGGGCATTTATGTTACTTTTAATTGGCATTAGCATTGCCTGGGTTCCTGTGGTGCAGTCAGCTCAAAGTGGGCAGCTCTTTGATTATATTCAGTCAGTTACCAGCTACCTGGGACCTCCCATTGCTGCTGTCTTCCTGCTTGCCATCTTCTGCAAGCGGGTCAATGAGCAGGTAAGTACAAATTAGGAAACAAGTATGCTGCATGTTCCTTTAGGCGTTGGGAGAACTGTTTTTTTGTTGTCTGTTAGCAACTACTTCCTGTTTATTTTAATGCTACTGTAGCCTAAGGACTCTGTGCTTCTGTACCCCAGGGCCTGAAGTTTCAGAGATGACATTGAAAATGTTTTTTGCTAATCTCATAAATAAACAGTCACCTAGGAATTCCTAGATAGCTCTGAAACGTAGGTTATCTATCACTTTGCTAAGAAGTGTGTCAAATGGATAATTTATGAAAACATATTTGAAAGTAATCTTTTAGGATATTGGTCACCAAACTGCTTTTCCAAACATATCATCTTTCACCTTCCTCTTGACCACTATATATTTTGTCAATGCTCTTTTAAACAAACATGCTGCTGTTTCATGCATTGTTCCCCATTGCTTTTAGGACTTAGTCTGGGAATCACTGATTTTGATTTGTAGAGCAGTGAACTGAGAAATATTGCACTTAAGCCTTTGTAAGTCAGTCAGAAGGCACAAGGTCTGTCACATGCTTTGATGGGACCATAGGCCATGGACCATACGTTAGTCATGGTAACTGGGCTCTCAGACATTCTGAAAACTCAATACTCAGGAATTCAGATGCTCTTCTATAATACTAGGAATAACTATACTTGCCTGTTGCTCAGGTTTGCTCCAAGGAGGATGAGTTCATTGAGAAAGCCTACAGAGAGAAGGTTTTTGAACATGGCTTGAACTTTTTTCTCACTATTTTCTTTTGAGACCAGTTCAGTGGTTATTTGTGTATATATCCAAGAAAAGCCTGTTTTACACACAGGGGATGTTCCATTTCCTATCCCAATATGGCTAAACCTCACAAATGGAGTAAATCTTTGTGCCCTTTGTGGAAACTTGTCATTGACTTTAGCTGAAATTTTACCTGAGTAAGAATTCAGTATAATCCTCGGGGGTTTGTGTACACTGCACAAATTAAACTTGGATAAATAGGGGAGACAAGCATCAAAGCTTCTGAGAATTGGAGCTTTGCATAAGATAAAGTCCAATATTGTAATTACTTACAAGATTTATCAACATTTCTTGCGCAGAACCGTTCTTCTTTCTTCCAGAAATGGAATTAACTATCTTGTCCTACTCCAAAACCTTTTTGTAGCTTTGACCACCGAATAATTAAGACTGTTTTGTTCTTAAACACAGCATTAAACCTAGAATATTTTTTAATCAGGATTTATAAGTTTGTGTTACCATCATCCGTTTTTTGACTTCACAAACTCGGAGAATGGTTGAGATGAGAAGGCACCTCTGGACTAGTGCCAACCCCTGCTACTCAAAATAGGGCTAACGAACAGGATGCTCGGGTCCTGCCCAGTTGGATTTTGAGTATGTCCAGGGATGGAGACTCCACAATGTCTCTAGGCAACCTGCTCCACTGTTCAATCACCCTTACAGTAAAACAAAACAAAATATTTACACAGAATTCCCCATATTTCAATTTGTGCCCAGACATACCTGTGCATCTCTTATAATTTGTGTTAGGGTAATATATACCTAGCAGCCAAACATCCACCACAAGTATCGAGAATTAACTTTTAACTAATCACTAACAAGGTCATTAGAAGATAAACCAGACACATATTTCAGGAGGAATGACACACGCTTGCTAGCTGGTTCCATCATGCTAGAACTGTCAGGGCTTTATCCCTCAAAGATAAAAAGATCTGAGAACAACCCTTGGGATATGTAGTCCTGTATAAGGAGAGCATTGTGTGGACACAGAGAACTTTGAGAAGTGAGCTGGGTAAGGTGTCCTCCGTATTCTTTCACTGAGCTGCTGCTCATTGCTCCTTTCAGTTGTATTAATACACTGAGCTGTAAATATGGTCACTGAAAGTATCTGGGTTGAAACCCATGTGCCAAGGCCAGCGTAACACATAACTACCTCCATGTTTCCTCCAGCAACTATTCAGGGCTTAGAGCTTATTTCCATGCCTGAAGTTACTCATTCTGATAACTTCTGTCACCTTGTCTGCAGGGTGCCTTCTGGGGCCTGATGGTTGGGCTGCTGACTGGACTCAGTAGAATGATTGCAGAGTTTGCCTACGGAACTGGCAACTGTGTGAGCCCTTCCAACTGCCCTTTCATCATCTGTGGGATTCACTACCTTTACTTTGCCATGATACTTTTTGGGGTTTCTACCATCGTCATCCTGGCAGTCTCCTTCATGACTAAGCCCATTCCTGATGTACATGTGAGTATTATTTCAGTCTTGCTCCTCAAGAAATGGAACTTGATGAAACCACTAGTTTTAAACACCAGTACTTGGTGTACTTCCTCCTGACATTTCAGCTACCCACATCCTATAGTTCTTGTAAGAAAGCAAAGGCAATTGTCTTCATTTATCTGTCACAAACCCTCAGTGACTCCCAATAATCTTGGACATTGACTTAATAGATATTTGGGATGCCATGGTCTTATGGCTTGTTCACATGCTGGCCAGACTGATTTCTCTCTGTGTAGTGAGGCTGTAAATTGATAAACTCATTTTGTTTCATGGCAGCTTTACCGCTTGTGTTGGTCTTTGCGGAACAGCAAAGAGGAACGTATTGATCTTGATGCAGATGAGGAGCAGGACAAAGATGATGAAAAAGATGAGGAATCAGGTAACTGTTGAATATCTATAGATTCTATCAATATATTTGAGTATCCCTATTTCATTCCTGAAGAAACATTAACGTGCTTGATATTCAAAGACATCCTACCCCTGCCCCCAACAAAAAAACAACAAAACCTCAAACCCCACATATTAAATGGCTAGTAAGCTATTGCCTCTTACCTATCTATCAAGCTCAGTGTAAATCAGAAATGAAGTGAATTTGAAGGGAGAAATTCTTTTTCCTAGGTAGCTAGGTGGCAGTTCTAGGACTAAAACAATGGAGGTCAGAGGTGGTGTGCACTGGCAGAGATGCGCGTGGATCTAGCACTTGGAATGAAACAATGAGAATTCACTTGGAAATAGTGAGTAGTAGCCAGGATTGAAGGAGCAAGGATGTGGCGCAAGACACCATGAAAGCGAATTGCCAGACATCCATCTGGGCAAAACCACCTACTCTCCTTGCTGGGTTTCTGGTTCTGCTGCCAAGTTCCTTTTCATAAGTATCCTCAAATTCATTTATTTGTCTTCTAATGAAAAGTGTAGAAAGTATTGAAAAAAAGGAGTTTAAGGTTTGCAGAGTGATGTGCTTCTCCAATACCAGGCCAAGTCTCTAGGCTGCAAAAGGCGCAAGTGTCTTCTGCAAAAGGCTCTCTTGCAACAAGTAGAAAATCACTCTTTTTCCCGGTGAGCTGTGAAAACACGGTATTAACTTGATTCTTGTACTGTCTTGTAATAACATGTTTCCAGTAACTATGACCATGAGTCAGAACTGCTATGTTAAATACAGGGATGTCCTTGGTCACAGAGATCGTCTAGTGCATGCAGTGGTCCATGCTTACATTTCATGACCAGTGTGTTATTCCTTCCAGTTAACAAGGAAAGTGAAGAAGAACCGGGATGCTTTAAGAAAGCGTACAACTGGTTCTGTGGCTTAGATCAACAAAAAGGACCCAAACTGAGCAAGGAGGAAGAAGAAGCATTAAAGAAGAAACTGACTGACACAAGCGAAGTACCACTTTGGAGAAATGTTGTGAATATCAATGGCATCATCCTATTGACTGTGGCTGTATTTTGCCATGCCTTCTTTGCATAAACCTCTGATTACAGTTCTGAAATTGTCCTGTATTGCCAAGCAAAAACGATGACTTGTCGATTTACAGAGTTAGATAAACTTAGTATTTTCATTGTCTACGTTTGTAAAAAAATTAGGGTGATCATAATTTCAACAATCTGAAGATGAAGGCTACTGGGATTTCAAGAGAGAGAATTTCTGTTCAGACATTGAATCAATCCAGGGCTAATAGAGGTTCAGAATTTCTATCCAATATTCTCTCTACTTGTGATACATTTCATATTTTAGGTGCAGAACAAGGCTGCATGAGCTTTTTCATATCAGGGTTTGTGAACTACCGTTTAGGGCTGATGATACTGGTTTGATTTTCAACCTTTCTTCTTCTGATCATTCAAATTCTTTTTTCCTTGGGCTACTATAATTTGAAAACAAAACCCCCACAACAACTGAGGGACCATATTATGAACTCAAAAAATTGCTATTGTTCCCTCCAAGCATGAGATATCTTAAGTACATATTGATGTATTTGACACTATATCTAACTTTCCATTATCACTTTTTTCTCCTTTTCCTCACTTTTCATTGAGTTGTGTTTCTCAGTAATCAGTGGAACACTAACCATCTGAATTGATCGCATTTTGAAATTAGGGAAAACATGTCTTGATGATCTTAGTAAGAATTCTGCTTACGGTAGATTCTCTTTTTGAGGTTAACTTCAAAAGGTCCTCCTCTCTTTGTATTTAATATGTGTCTATACTTGAATGTGAAGCTTTTTTATACAAATACATATATTATATATACACATACAATACATTATATATATGCACTATATATATTATATATATTTAAAATATATATGTGTGTGTGTATATATATATTTATTTCTTACTGATCAATTCCCACCTTGGTATGTCAGAGTTAATCTCTACCCACAATTACTAGGACCTCTTTATCGTGGGGTTGGTGTTAGTGTATTGTATTGCCTCTTTCTATGGACTGCACTACAAAACAATCCATGCGCATAGTTAAAAGTCCAAAGCATCAGAATGCTGGGCTTGCATTTTTCCTTCAAGTACATTTGAGGGCTCTGTACTGCTTTTCTGCAAAGCTATAAATCCTCTGAAGATTTCATTGAGAAATAGAATTCATGCTACATGACAGTATGAGTTAACAGTTCATGAAGGAGAATAGTCACAGCTGTGGGATATCAGCTAAACCAGTCTGATTGTCTCCACTTGGTAATTTTGATACCAGCTGGAGATATAGGAAAATACAGATTTAACACTTCAAAGCAAAAAGCAATAGCTCTTCTTATAATTTAATTCAGCTTCTTGGGGAATCAAGTGTAAAAAGATTACTTCAGTTGCTGTAGTCAAGCTGCACCACATTTCCGTGTTCCTGTTGCACACGTATGGTGGGATGCTGCGTTGTCTCAATGCGTTTCAGTATTCTACAGCAGGATGTGCTGGACTTGCAATAAGTGCATCTAAATAGGAAGCCAATGTAGTCTCTCCGTAGGTGCTACACCACACTGCTGCTAACTCCTGCAGCTTTAATCACTCTCACTTCATAATCTTCTGACAGTATCTTTTCTTCATTTGGATCTAAACCAAAATGCTCTGGATTCTAGTAGAGTTGCTGCTCTGCAGTACAATCCCTGCAGTATACTGAAAGGTTTTGCATAGGCCAGATCAAAGCAATACTATATAAATACCAGTGCAAACCTTTTTCTTACAGTTAATACAGTGATGGAGTATTTTAAAGACCATGGACTCAATTATATTTAATGGACTATGGAGACTTGTATGTATTAAAGTATTTGTATATTTTGAAGTATTTGGTGTCCACAAAATGATGGGATTTAATTTGGTGTCTAGATTTTGGCTCTGGGTATAGCAGTGGTTGACAAACAAGCAAGACTGACTTTAGTGAGGGTTGCCCAGATCCTTCTTTGTCATGCTTTGTTACAGAGAGAAAAATATGGTGCAACTATACAACCATTTGGATAACGACAAATAACATGAGCGATTTCCTGTCAGGCTGAGCACCCTTTAGATGACCTCCTGGTTCATCAGGCACCATCACTCAATTTTCCTCCCCAGGATTAAAGAATTTTGCAAACTAACTCTCAGTTTCCCAGTGACATTCACTGTACACCCTCAGCAACCCGCTTTTGTTCTGGTCAGAAAACTGGATGTTGTAGAGGGCTGAGTTCAAATGTTTACATAAACTCTGACTGTTGCTTAGAGTAGTCCTCTAATTTTGTAGAATTTCACAAAAAAAATGCCTGATATTGTGGACAGCTGATAAAATTTTTATGTTTAGATTAAGAGTTAAATGCCACCTCAGGTTGATAGCTATTGCATTCAAAGGTTGTTTCATGATTTTAAGGAAGAAAGTGACTTTTCTTCACTCTTCAGGGGAACTCTGTCCATGTTACAGCTGTTGTTGTGGGACACTCCCAGACAAACCCCAAAAAGTAGCTCACACTGTCCTGGGCATTCTCTTGCTTTAGAAATGGGAACAGTGAGCACATGCTTGTTCCCCACGCTTGACTGTAAATTTGAAATACTCCTGGTTAGTGAAGAGACTCCAGATATATCTCTGGCTAATAGCACAATATACATGCATGGCATGTACAGCAAAACACAACTCTATTTCAGGTGATTCTGAGACATCCCAGCTTATCCTGACAGGTAAGATACAGGGTTACAGCTTATTTTAGCGGACTTTAGGTAGATATACAAAATTATTTTAAATGAAGTGCACATAATAAAATTAAAAATTTACCTAGTAGCACTGTAAGCCAATTACAACGCTGATATATAAAGAACACATACTAAACAAATTGGGTCTTGCATTTAAGAATTACTACATAATTTTCAGACCGAATCCTGAAAAAGGGTAACCACTCTTCATTTATGTTTTCATTTTTCTCTATCACCCATAGCAAATGTATCCAAGTATCTCACAAGTGTTAATTATTAATCATCATGAACACACTGTTCTTAGAACTCAGAATTTGGTTTTATTCCTATTTTGTTATTGAAAAAGCTCATGCACTGAAATGCCAGGGGAGGGAAGGTCTGTAGCTTAATTTGGAGTACAACTGCAGTAACCACGGTTTGGTTTCAACCAAAATGTCTGTCCACGGTGAATTAGGACATAGCACAAGGCTATGGTGCAAGTGGTCATCATGATCAGAGCACCATCAGCAGCTGCGATTGCTTAATTGGCTCAAGTCCTGCTCAGATCACTTTCTGAGCTGGAAAAATTAGGAAAGTGTATACGAAGTAAAAGCTGACACAAAAATGAGGAGCAAAGAGTAGTGATAACTATACGCATCACCAGCGGTGACTGGTGTTTGGGAGAAAAGCTATAGAGCCTGAAGAACACTCCAACTCATTGGTTTGAAGCATTGAGCTGGAGGAGAGTTTAAAGCTGATATTCCCTGGGACAGCCATGCTGCACAGGGAAGGGTTGCTCACAGGCTATAGAGTCACAGCAAAGCTGCTCTGAGGAAGGCTGCTGGGTTTTTAAATTTATTTAATGATCCTGTGTCCTAGTTGCATGTCACTCTGTCCTGCTCCTGCAGTGTTACTGCGTGGTAGCAAGAAAGTGAGGGAAGAGAGCGGCCATTAGGGCTTCCCTTCTGTTTAACTTAAAGTACAGTATCGCAGATTTAACAGAAGGCGATACAGTACTAAGAAAGATGAGAAATGCAAAAAAACCCCTAGATTTTACTTGGTGATGCATCGTGTTTTCTCATGGAGTGTGTATTGCAGGCCTGTGCTGACAACTTAAGGATGGAGTAAAGCTACACTTACTCCAGTATCTACTAGCTGTTCTGATGAAAGACAGTATAACCAGTGCCTGAGGTTATTACCCTTATTATTAATAAAATAGGTTGCCTTTTTCATCCCTCCTGAAGAACACTCTATATTGTCATCTACCACGGGAAGTTGGGAAAAAGAAGAATTTCCCTGGAGCTCTTGTGCCCACCCTCTCCTCACCTGGCAATGCTTAAGGCTAGAGCAGCTGTGCGTGTGCTGTACCAGCAGCTCCCCTACTTTTCTTAAGGTACCTGGAAGAACCTCAAGCTGAGGTAAGTGTGAACTCATCCTTACTCTGTGCAGCATTCTTATTTACAGTATCAGAGCCTATAACTTAAAAAACTTATGTTCAAAGTATCTTAAATTGTTACAAAGGTTTTCATTCATTCAAACTGCAAATTTTGTTGTGCTAAAAATAGGTCCTGGGCTTGAATTTTGCAGCATCTTAGTTTGTGTGTAGATAGAGAAAAGACATCCTGCTCTTCTGGTTTAATGTAATTAGCCAAATCTGACTCTCCCCAGACTCTTTTATTTTGTCCTTAGACAAAGGACAAAAATCTTGCTTCTATGCATTTTCAATAGGATTTTGATTTTTGTTTTTTTAAAATGGAAAATGTAGTGGTTGGAAGCAAAAATACTCCGTGCTTTGGAACATGAAGAGATAGAATTAAAAGCTGCCATTTTCTAGAGCACGACAGAATGGTTTCCAACTCCTGGTCTTCTGAAAGCAAATGGGGGCAGGGTAATGAGTCTGGAGTTGCAAGAACAAAGAGCCACAATATTCTTAACCTTCTGAAAATTGTTAGAAAAAACCTAATATAAAGCTTTGTGCATTCAGTATGAGCTCTGCCTGGGTGTGGACACAAGGCTTATACAAGAAGGTCTGGTTTCCAAAGAACGCAGCTGTCCTGTATTCTCCCGGTATCACTGAGAATTGTTAGGCAGCTGATTTGAAAACTTGGTCTGTGTAGAGTGTAACTGAATTAATTCCAGTATTGACCCAGGACCACATTAATTATATCTTGGACTTAATTATTGGCTTAAAAAGACAAATAATTTTTCGTTGATGTTAAAGATCTGCCTAGATACTAATGTCATTGTGGTGTGGAGCACTGTGGAGCATATAGAGCTAAAACCCAAGACTTGCTGTATACACAGCATTTCTTTTGAAACAATGAGTTTAATTACAGTGCATGAGAATGGCAGGTCCTGACATGTTAATTTAAGTATTTATAATGTGTATGAAGCAATTCAAATGGATTTTTAGCATTTTTGTGATCAAGTCTGTGGCAGCTTTATCATGGAGTATACTTGACTGAATGCTAAGTCAGTCTAAGGGGAAGCATTCATCAGCTGTGTTTCTTTGATTCAGCTAATTGTTTTACTGACACCTAGGTTGCTAATTAATTGCCCAGCCTCACAAATTAGGGACTGTTGCCTCTCATTCCAAAGCTGTAGACAGCCATGGCATGTGCATTACATTTCAGTACTTTCCGTAGTCCTTAGCTGCATGTTGAATGAATGTTCAACACCAAGAGAACTGCAAAGCCAGCAAGCACGTCTCTAGGACTAAATCTGTGACCTCGGTCAGAAACCATGTCCTAATTTGAGAGAGAGTGCCCACAGAAAACTATCGGAACTGCAGGTTGCCTATGTAACATCAGTGTTGTTGTCTTGTTGGTGAAGTTCATGGGGAACAGGACCCATACTCTCCCTGCCCCTGGACTTGCTAGGACAGGTGACTTTTTCGTTTTATCAGAATGCCAGTACTAGAAGAATTTGAGGATGCATTTTTCATTTTGTGCACTGTCTTAAGGGCAACACTGTACTCAGCAGTTAAGTAATAACTGACAGAAGTCCAAATACTGCTAGGGCCAAAGGGTATCTGGGGTTAACTCCAACCTGATTTGTAAATCAATGTTACTGTAACTTCAGTACATCTTGTTCTCCTTTGTTTCAAGATTTGGTGTACCTCAGAAGAAAAAGAAAATCCTTAATCATAAGGATCTTTTTTTTTTAGGTATGAAAATTCATTAAATGATTATTTGCTAAATTACAGAATCAAAGTTAGTTTAACAACGAGTAAGAATACTGAGAATTCCAAGCCTAAAAATCCAGGCTTATGCTGTATATTTTCTTAATTCTTTTTACCCTGTAATCTCTGTTCATGCCACTGGGTTGTTTTTTGTCTCTCCCAAATATGTTTTGGGTCAACTCGGATACTTCCTTTTTTCACCATCAGTTTCTCTATTTGTGGAAACTTTTTCAAGGATTTATTTGCAATTGCTTTGATTTTCCAACTCCTGTTTCAGAGCTGTAATCTCATCTCCTGTCTTATAGCCACTGCTTTAACAGGGAGATTCAGAAATACACTGAAACTTATCCCCAAACTTACTGGACATCCTAGTAACTGTTAACATTGGTGGGTGGTCTTGATATCTACATGCTGGTTTTGTGCCTTGTTACTAAATATACGGGTAGCCTATAGTATAAGCCCTATAAAATTATATTTCTTCCTTTTTTGTTGTATCTTCTAATAAAATAGGGTATGTTATTTCCTGCTAAATAACATAAAAAGAAAGCATGGCTACATTTTTCCAGGGGCAGGGGGAAAATCACATTGCGACATTTAGTTAGGGGTTTTACCTATCTGGCTAATTTAAATTACATTTGAGATCTCAAAGGTCTTTATGAAGAATGTGAAGGGACATTTCGGATGTTGAACTGTGGCTGAGAAACTCGTTTTAGGAAGGAGATTTAGGAATCAGCATATTCCTATGGGAGCAGTTGTGTGTTGCATTTTAATATACCCTGAAAAATGATTTTGTAGAATAAAAACTTACCTCTTAATTCAGGTTCCATGTAGTCAGGATTACAAAGGAGATAGTGTGTGTTTCTTTGCTCTGTCAGGTAGATCTGTGCTTTGTTCCCTTGTCTCCCACACCGTGATGGGGTTTGCTGCACTGTGCCTGTGCTGTCACTATCCTGCACTGGCCTCCTGCAGTGTAACTCGGGGACACCAAGCATTTAGACACCAATATAGCTCTAGAAACACCACAGATTACAAAACAGTGTTCTGCAATAAATAGGATTATTTCTGCATTAGCTCGTGTTCTCTGTAGCATCCTTTGCTTCTCATAGGCTGTTTAACTCTGCCACCACTGCCATATACTGTGCTGTGCTTCTGCAAATGTTTATCATCTGCAGTGCTGTCAATAAACTGCAGCAAGCTGCACCACACCTGAGCATGTGAATTTGAATTCTACTATCCACAACATTTTTTTCAGTAAATATAGCTTTATAAGTAAAAAAAAAAAATTAATAATGGTTCATGGCTGTTCTGTATGCAGACTTTGAATTTTGGTGTTTATATAGGCAGCACATGGTCAATATAGCCAAATGGAATTACTGTTGTGATTGAAATATCGTATTTTACATTGTTAGACGTAATAGTGCCAAAGAGTTGCTGAGACAAAAGCTGACATGTGGAAGGGGTACCACTAGCATCCATACTTCTGAGTTCAGTTAAGGTTTTGTTCCATTTTTGTATTATGTGTGTATATAAGGCAAGAACATTGATACTGTATAGAGCCTTACTTGGAAACGGTTTATATTGTCTTTAAAGCAATGATCAGGCAGATGCTCAAAATGCACTACTTAAGGTCCAAGTCAGCTAAGTTTCTTCGAGTTGGAGCAGTTCAGTCTGGATGGTCTTATTTCTACATCTGAACAAGCTAATTATTTTGCTAACTCATTGAAGTGTGACACCTGCATTATCAGGGAAGGCTGTGACAGAAGTTTGGAACTGAGATAAAATTATTATTGTTAACTGCATTGTCCTGCAGAAGTGTTTTAAGTGTAGGTAAGACTACCATTCCCCATTGTTCCCTAGACCTTTACTGGTCATTACTGAGGCACTCTAGCATCAATCTGTATTAGGTATGAGTGCCTGATGTGTGTAAAGTGTGTTTAAAAGGAAGAGTTCCTCCAAGATCCTGCCTGGAGGGAATGAATCCAATTGATTCATCCAAATGATCACACCTTTATAAGGGAGGAAATTCACCCTTTTGTTAGGTTATGGAAAAGAAACATTTTAACCTTAATCGTTCCTACAGAGTAAGTCTACACTTTGTATAAGGGTAATGCAGTTTGCAGTGTGACAGTGGGTTTCTGCAATGGAAAAGCAGCCCTGACAAATAACCTCTTTATACAGATGATGCAGCTTCTTTGTAGCTACAACTTTGTAATTTCTAGAGATAAAAATACCACATGAGAGCACGACTTGAGTGGAAACAAATGGAACTTCCTGTGAAACTGGGTCAGCTGCGCTATCACGCCCTTATTGGTCGCTAAGGATGGCCAGGATTTCTCCTGCTAGCTTGCTTTATTTCTTTGCCCAGGCCTTCTGTTGATGTCTCTTAAATTGCGCATGTGCAACTGCAGACAGAGAAATTTGCAGCATATCTGCAGTGACCTGCCTCGACTACACAGTGAGTAAAATGCTACTGAACTTCCCACCATTCCAACTGCCCGTCAGCTCTAAACACAGGAATTACCTCATTTCCTTCAGGCAATTTACATCTTATTGGATAGGCTTGCTTCTACAAGCAGCTTGAGCTTTCTGTATTATTCTCAATTGTATGAAGTAAAGGCTTTTTTTAAAAAAAGTTGAGTTTTTTAAAGAACACCCCCCCCCATTTTTCCAAAGTAGGGAGTTCTCTGTTCCGTTTATCTCCTCACCTCTCTGTTTAGACAGCTGTTGATCATAGAATGCTTGAGGCTGGAAGGGACCTCTGGAGGCTGTCTTGTCCAACTCTTGTTGGACTAGATCATAACATTAGGATCAGCTTTCCTCTTGCCCCCTCCTTTTCCCCAAAAAGTGAGCCACAATGGCAAAACTCTTCAGTTCTGGCACAATGCTTCCATTTCCATTATATTTGTTAATTTTTGTACTCAAAGGATAGATTACAGCTGTACAAAACTGCAAAATACCACGTACTAGCACAAACACAGAGGCATTTTTGCTCCATACTATAATCAATTTCAGGCAGGGATCAGACTCCTCTTCTGTTAGAGGTAGTAGGGTCTACCCCCAACAGGGCTTTACCAAGGGCTACCCTAGTAAAGTCTTTCTGACTTACTTTCTTTTTACCCTAAGCATAGACAACTGCACATGGCAGCCCTGAGCCTGGCTCCAAGCACACAGAAGGAGAAAACCTGCCTGTTGAGATCCTCACCAGCTTAAAAACACGGGAGCAATCACTGTGGCTAAGGCTGAGGGAGAGGCTGCTGATACGTACAGCAAGAGAGGGGCTCAGAAGGGGCTGCAAAGTAAAGCAAGGGCTGCCTTAAAACTCTTCTCGAGAAGTAATTAGCTGGGGGTATTGGAGTGTCGCATGGATAAATCTCATCACAGGGATATGGTTAGGCTGAGGTGCTCTTAGCACAAGGCAGTGGGGTCTGTCTCCACTAGATTCATGGCTGGCAAGTCTTGTCAGCAACTCCATTTGTTAGAACCCTCCTGATAAGTATTTGCTTGTATTTTAAGCTGGGAAAGGCTCGTAATTCTATAGGGAAAGCCCTTCTATGCCACTGCTATCGCTTTTTCCGTGAGGATGCTCTAAATTGTTCTAATCCCGTGTTCAACAAATGTTTGCAGCAAAACTCATGGAAATTTCTGTTGTCAGCTCGATTTCTCAGCATAGACAGGACTGCTGGAGAGGTTAATTTTGAACCTTTCTTTCTAATATAATTAGTTATTGATTAATGTTTGATAGGCTGAGATTTAAAAAAAAGAAAGGAGAGAACATTATGAAGAAAACAAAAAGGACCAGTTTCTTGTATCTTGATAACTCAGGAAGTAAACTCCTAGTGGAGAATTCTAGACTTCCTAACTTTTCTTTTTCCCCATTATTCTGCTCATGACCTGCAACATAGATGTGAAGCTGTTGACAAATGACTTTTCAGGAGCAACTGATCCAGAGTAACCCAAGAAGAGAGTTTTGTTTTTGAAGGTCTCATATAACCATGCAACTTTTACAGCCAGAGAACAATAGAGGGCAATAGATCTCTGTGAAACATCACGTCTTCAGAAAGGTTTCCATTTGATGACACTGATGGCAATTTTGGCAGCTCTTTTCACTGCCTCACAGGGATCATTCAGACACTGCTGAAATGTATCTGTATGATCTAGGAGTGTCTTACGGCCCTCTGGTACCTCAGCCAGCAGGGTGAGGGTTTTGATTGCACTCAGACGGGCTTTGCTGGTTTCCTCAGCAACCAACTTCAGTAAAGGTGGAATGGCTGCAGCACCTAGGGCTGAGAATCTCCCTGTAGAGAAATAAATTGGCTTTAAAATGTGTTATTATATATAATCAACATGCTTTTGAATTCCTACTTTCTACTCCCTGCCCAGCTACATCGCTGAACACCCCAGAGGGTGCAGTGTGAAGAGGTAGGACATGCTTTTCTTTTGAAGACCAAAGCTTGCTTCTAGCTGTTTAAGAAAAGAGTTCTTTCTTAGTTAACTTTATCTGCCTTGCACATTATTATTTCATTTGCAACAACATATCTAAGAATATAAAATGCACTGAATGATAGGATAAACTATTGGGGGGAGGCTAGATGCCCTTAAGAACATCCTCCATTCTTTTATTTTTAAAGACACTTCAAACACTGGGATCCACTCCTCTGTTGTCTTCGGAAGCCAGAGGGACAGTTGCAGAGGAGGACTGGAACACAACTGCTGTTATTAAGATGCTTTTATGTCTAATTACTCATTCATCACACTGAAAATTTAGCAGTTAGTATTTTCAGTGTTGTGTAAGTTACTTGGGAGAACTACAGACCTTATTAATATTCATTCCTCTCCCAGCTGTGAGAGAGAAACTGCCTCTAACCACAAAAATTGTTTCCAGAAAATAGTGCTCCTCTGTTGAGGACCAGTGATTCAGCGTAGCTTCAGATATGTAGATCTCTGTATGGTCTGCACTTGGACAGAAAATGTGCCCCCTCTGGAGGGGAATAATGATGGGGTAGATAAATAACTTCTTGACCTACTTCAGGTGAATGAAATCTGAAATATACTGTCTGCCCTAGACACAACAACAGTAGCTTGAGACAGATCTAAAGAAACATCTAATCTTACAGTTTCTTGAAGAGCTTTAAAACTATCAGAAACTGAGTACTAAGTTGCCTTAGAATTGGATTTCTGGAAAGTATCCCAACAGAACTGCCTCTGTTTCTCACCCTGAGGTTTAACAGCAGCAAACATCAGTGCTCCTGTTGCACTAGCTTGGACTTCAGGATCTGTATCTTCCAACAGGCTCACCAGCACAGGAATAACTTCTTCACATACCACGCCTTTTCCCTCTGGATGAGTACTGTGCAGAAAAGATGGTTAAGTTGCTTTCTCAGACTGCCTCTGCTAACCATGCAGCTACCCACAGCCTCTCCCCATGCCTGGACCCCTGCAGTCCTCCTTTCATGACAACACGTTTCATGACAACAGTGCTGACACAGTCCTCCTCTCTGTTCTCTTTGGAGTCACAATGTTCTGACTGTTAGACAGATGGCAAGCACCACTACCCAGCCACAAGGGAATGAAAGGGGATGTCTGTCTGTTCCTGGTGTCCATTAAATCTACTTGCTGATACAATACTGATGATATCATATTCACCTGTGTGTATGGGCTTAACAATTTTTTAGGCTAATTTTAGATGGTTTGGATTTTTTATTTCTTTCTGTGATACACTGGAGATTGATGGGCAACAGCATGTAACAGGATGCAGGATTAAGTGTGCTGGTGTTCCTAATGGCAATTTGGTTAGAAACCTGGCTGTTGAATCCTATACAGATTAAAAAACCTCCTCAATTAGGAGTCTGCAATTAATTCTTCTCCCAGGTCAATTTTCTCTCTTTCTTTCCAGCCTCTTTAATGCAGGGAATATTTAACATGGCCCAGCTACTGCAGAGACCTAGAATGTGACTGATGCCCATACTCTAAGTGCATTTCTGCTTGCTTTCTATGACTCATGTTATCTATACTCTCTTTTCATATAAAACCTCGCTTTGTTATAAGATATTAGGAGGTGTTTTGTGCCAGTTGGTATGTAAACTACATGATCTGCAGACCTTTTTAAACTAGACATCTGTTGAGCAATTTTATTACATTTTGTGATTGCAGAACAGTGGACTTAAGTTGTTCCTTTCATCCAGTGTTTGATACACAAATTTAATATAAAGATTGCTTTTTCTGATCCATCACTGATGTACGTAGCAGCCTGTGTCAGAAGCTATTTCTGTCCCCAATCACACTGAAAGTTTCCCAGGACTTTTAATTTTTTGAGAGAGCATGGCTGTCCAAAACAATAAGGGAGTTTCTCCCTGCCTCCATAGTGGTCAGAATCTTTCATGATTTCACATGATTTTTCATGGAGAAATTTTTTCTCAGCGGTGCTGTAGCAGGAAAAAATCCTGATTTCACTGCCAATGCTGAACACAAGTAGAAGGAGAAGGAATGACATTTCCTCATCAGCATCTGCTTTCTTGAGTGATTTATAGCAATTATGATTTTTAGAAGTCTTCTACTTATGTGTGCATTCAGGCTGATATTCCTTTACATGTGACATGTGACAGCTTCAATGTGTAGTGGAACACAACTGTAAACTAATTACATGGACTCACTCATTAAATGAGTATTTTCTTGGGCTTATGTATGATAGATAGATTTTTTTTTTTTTTTACTTTACCCAATTTCTAACAGGACGCAAGCTGCTTTGCTTCTGATGGCCACTGATGAGTGTGTGAGCTTTTCCTTCAGGATAGTAACGGCACCAGTTGCTAGAGCTTCAGAAGCCTCCACATGCAGACAGTTGGAGAGTGTATCAAGGATTAGCTCCTGGATCTCATCCGACTCAGTCTTCAATTTGAATACAAGTAAGGGAATCAAACCAGCATGCAGTATGCCAACAGCCCCTACCGGAGGAGACAGGGAAGGAACATAGGTGAGGTGTGAGTGCATTTACCCTTTCTACCTGCACTTTAAATTTCTTAATAGGATCAAAATACGTATGGTAACTCATTTTCTTACACAGATGTGGGATTGAGAGATGGAAATTACTACAATACTGCTCTGTTCATAAATGCCATCTTAGCATTGCTTCCTCAGGAAGCTTCCACAACAGTCCTGTAAAGATATCAGCCCAGGTAATAGCCAAAATGGCAATTGCTCTGATGTTCCCAGTTTCCCCCACTATAATATTTCTCCCCAAATCATTCTTGCTAAGAAAAAAACCCCACGAACGTATAAAAGTCACCTTATATCCAGCCTTTCTAACTGTTCTCAACATGAACAGATGCTAACAGAGACTGAGATGTGAGCCTTTAGAGCTAATACTTTGATCCTCCACTATGGTTTCTGTGGGGGAAGTCAACAGTTTGGGAACTGTCAGCTTCCTCACACATTTCTTTGTAGTAATTCTGTCATGGGGAAAATTTAAATTTTGAGCTTTCCAGCAGTCAGTACTGTTGCACTATGTCCTAAAGGAAACAACATCAAAGGTAGAAAGATCATAATTTGCCCTGCAAATGATGTCTTTGCTATGAGCAAGCATCTGATTTGTACCATTTCTTACACTTTACTAAGTCAACACTGAAACAGCAATGCCATGGGAAAGCAGAAAGCAGAACGTACTGTCCACAAGTAACTATGTGAAAACAAAATTCTCCAGCTGTCTTGTTGCTAAGACTGATTCTTTGGTTGCTAAGAGAAATGTGGCTCCTTTCAAAGTGATTCATATATGGTTAGATAAGGAAGTTTTGTGGATAAGAGCCATCAAGGTATTTTCAAATGAACCTCCACAGTCGGGGATAAAAGGACAAGAGTGAAAGAGATTTTAATGGCCCTTGGTAGTGCACAGGAGAAATCTCTCAACTTGACAGTCAGGTGAAAAACATGATTCTAATCTAGAGGTTTTCTGTTGTACGTATTTCCGAGGTTTTGCAGACACTGAATAACTTCTTATGTTAGTAAGTTATTAGGATCCACTTTACTAATGCAAATGCAAAGAAACACCTAGGGGTGATATTACAGCTTTTACTACCTGTGCTACATCTGGAGGTCAGTTGTTGTGAAAATTCAAATAAATAATAGGGAAAAACAGACTCAGACAATTCACTCTTGAAGGCTAACAATGTGTTAAAAGCAAGGATTTCTCTTTGTGCCAGAAAGGCAAAGCAGGGAAGGAAAGTGAAAAAATGTTATCTTTGAAGCTGTGGCTCTGTATATTACTAGATGGGGGGGCTGGCATTTTCGTAGTAAAAAAAACCCTCAACCCTGTATTTATGTCCTCTGGAGGAACGAAAAGAAGAAAATTCTCAAGGATCAGCTCTAGCCCATTCAATGCTGCCCCCACAGAAGGATGTGATAAAGGAAACCTGCACTATTGGTCTGCCAAAGGACTCTTGGAGGGGGCCCCGAGAAGGAGATAAAGCTTGCAGAGCTGACTCCATCACCCAGCACTAACTCCCTTGACAAGGATTACAAGTGTTTGGATTGTAGTTTATAGGTATAGAAGGGTGATGGGTGGGTTAGACAACAGAAAGGACATGGCTGGGAACACACCATGCCTTATGGAGTCGCAGGCAGTAGGGAACTGATGCCATGGAAATAGTGTAAAGCACTCAGATGACTATAAGTCTTATGCAGAATTGATTTAGCCACGCTTCCCAATGTCTTTTGAAATAGCTTATGAAAGACAAGATTTTTCAAAGCCAAGTTTTAAAACTGCTCCCAAAGTTTTTAATGAAAATAAACTATATGGCCTGTCTGCATGAAATTGGGATACCCAGAGAGCTCACACAGTCACCATGTACACTTCTAAATGCTGGGATGCTATGGAAATCAGAATAAAACCAACATTTGGGAGGTACAGTTTCAGAGGAAGATTAATGACTTAGAGGTGATAGACTTACAAGCTGACATTCCCTGTAGCAAGCATCTATTTATTGGCCAGTTGCTTTGCCAGATGATTTTTGAACCAAAACCACATCTGGACTACTTGACCTTAAAGTTATTTGATTCTTTCTAGATAAGGTAGCACACCAAATGTAAATGTAAATAAGAGTAGCAAAGAACTGAAGTTTAAACTCCACGCTCCTCCAGAGCCTTTGTGTAGCTTTAATTCACATTGACACCAATCTTCCTTGGGATAGTGTCTCACCACAAGCATTTCATCATACCATTTCATAAGCAAACACTTGTTCTTGCACAGAGTAGTCAGCATGCCGGCGTACAGCCCAGAGAAGCCATTGCTTCCTTTAATTCAACTTTCCATTTTTCTGTAGCAACTATTGCTATAGCATTCTGTCTACCTTTGTCGTGCTGGTAGATGTACTTTTTTCTTTCCCAGTCAGGTTTCCATTACTATTTTTTGCACTGGCTTTCAAATACTTAATAGCCATTTTTTAACCCATCATCTTAATTTCCATTCACTTCCATTTTTAGTTTCCTCCATATCCATCTTTTTCAGGACTTCCTTGCTAACTTATTTCAGTTCTCTTGATCACTTTATCGTCTTATTGCCAGTAAAGTACTATCAGCATTCAGGTTTCATTTCTTTGTGTCTGTGTCTGTCATTTATCTTCCAATACATTCAACCAATACGTTCAACTAGACAGGACTGCTTTCATTTGCCCTTGAGTTTATTCCTTCCAATTAATGTTTATTGACTTTCTTTGACTCGGTCATCCCTCATTCATTGCATTTGCACTTCATGTCTTCTCTTGGTGCTAGCCTTTACTATTGCACTGCAGTCCTGAGTGCAAAATAGACAGCAAAGCCACTTTATGTCTTTCTGTTTCAATAAACTGGCAGGACAATGTACAGAGTGTTATTTTGTGGAGCCACTAAGTACTATTTATTCTGTGGTCAGAAATCCCCATGTAGCTAGTGGGTGCTTATTTTATATGAACACTTGGGCTGTTTTCATTTTTAAAAAATATGGTTTATTTTACTAGGCCTAGTGTCTGTATCAAGAGTTTCCTTATCTACTGTTTTTGTCAAGCTGTCTTATCTGAAATGCTATCATACTACTAAAGGGAGCTTCCCAGATATAAATAGAGAAACAAAGATGAATTGTTTGACCTTGTCAGAAATCTCAATGTGGTGAAGAGAATAAGGGTAGAGAGGAAAGGCCATCAACAACAACAAAAGGAGACTACCTAACACTGAGACTGAAATTTCCAGGTGGAAATTCATCATGGTTTTCCCAAGGGAACCAAAGGGTGAAAGGTCTAGGGAAGTAAAAGGGAAAAGGGAGGAGACAAAATCAGTGGAAAGTTGTTTGAGAGTTATTTGTAAATCTGAGCAGTCTCAGATCCTTGCATCTTACTGAGCAAGCAATAGGAGGGGAAGGTAAGCTGGTGTTTCTAGCAGTCCTATACCGAAAAATGAAGCAGCATCCTTAGGATCTTGACTTTTCATTAAAATAGTGCCGTTTCGAAGGTGATTTATCTATTGCAGAGAGTGTTCTAGATACCCTGGGCATAGTGTAGTAGTAGGAAAAATTGTTTTCAAAATGCAAATAGTTGCATTTGCAGCTGCATAGTTAACATCATTATTGATCTGTTTTTCTGAGCACTTGTAATCTTCCCTTGGGCTGCTTTTTATCTGAGCACTCATCTTTTCCTTCTCATAACCCTCTGGCCACTCTCATCCTCCCTTTCCTGACTCTTTTTTCAAATAGGCCCAAAGAGGAGTTGTCATTTATTTTGTTCTCTCAGTATAGCTGCAGGGCATATAAACAAATTAAATTTTGTAGAATACAAAGGAGTCATTTATGGTGCACAACAGTGGTGTTTTGTTTTGGTTTTCAATTACATAAATCAATTAAATCACATTACAAATCCTTTTCCTTACAAATGTCGGTTTTCAACTCAAAGCCATTTAAATGTTTGTTTTAGTACAAAGCATGAGCCTCATACATGGCCACAAAGTGGTGTACAGCGTAGTATAACATAGTAAAATAATATGTCAACATAGATTCTATATAATATGAATGTTCTGTTAACACCTGAGATGTCTCTAGATGTCACAGCTATTTGAAATGCTTAGTAACAGCATTTCTACTTAGGAAGGGGCACACAAGGAGAAGAAAAGCAGAGCCAGACACAATCAGAAGGAAAAATGCTGCCTAGCATCACCATGTGCTATCAACACAGCCAGTACACAGTGGCTATGGAATCCCAGGGTGGGAGCTCACTAACTGTGAGTAGCCAAACGATCCTGACAAAATTTCCAGACCTAGCAGCTCTCTTGCTAGCACTGCAGTAGTTCAGCACCATTTTAGAGGTAACAAAGTGTATATTAAACTAGTGAGTGCTAGCATATATTATATAAATTTAAAAATGCAGTGCTTGTAAAATGTTTCCTTTCTGAGTGACAAGATGACCGCAGAAGATCCTTCCCCAGCACACATTCCTTAATAACTCCTTGCTCACTACAGTTTAAATTGGAAAAAAAATTATTCTTTAGACTCCCTGAGAATATTTGAGTCACTAGTCACAAAAGCATAGTTTGAGAACCTTGTAGTAGCTAATTTAATATTAAGATTCAGCATTTTGAGTCTCAGTGTTTCTAGCATAAAGGCTGTGTTAGGGAGTAGATTAAATATAATACTACTATAAAACTGGGCTGAAATTTCTTTCTGGTAATTTTGGAGCAGGAGGTAGGCCACATTAAATGAAATAGAACTCACCTATCTATACCCTGTCAGCTTCATCCAGTCTTCTTAACTGAAGAGGAAAATTCTGTTGACATCTTTGAAAGTCAGACTATTTTCCTCTTCTTTGCAACAACAATGATAATTTAACAGGAATAAACAGTAGTGTCCCAAAGGATGCCGATGCCTAGAGACAAAGAGTATCTCTTCTCTTAAAGGACTGAGAGGTAGAAAGTCCCTGCTTAAAGCAGCTGAGGAGCTACTAGGATATTGAGGAAAACACTGCAGGTATTGGTATTGG